CCGGTAAAAGCAACGACGCCCCCAGTAGAGACACCGACGCCGCCGGTTGAGGAAAAGACGAAACCGGTGGAGGCACCGACACCGCCGGCGGAGCAGAAGACGACGCCGACGGAAAAGGCGACGCCGACGGCTGAGGAAAAGACGACACCGACAAAGGAGGAGGCGACGTCAACAGAGGAGGAAAAAACGGGAACATTGGCGTTGGACGAGCAGGAAGCGATGAAGGAGGCTCGGGAGTTGATCGACGGTGCCGTGCACAGACATCCGGGAAACCTCGGAAACTCGCTGCTGATGGTGAGCTTTGGTCGCGGAAAGGCGAGACCCGCAAAGGCGGGCAACGACTCCCCTCCCCCGAGTGCGCCCCCGGAAGCGCCAGAGTCGAACGAACAAAACAAAACCATCGTGACGCCGATCCAGGGCGACGAGACGCCCTCGGTGAACGAAACCGAGCCACTTAGCCCAGACGTAGAGCCTTTCGAGCCCAAGAAACCAGTCGTGGTTCCCGCGAAGAAATAGACTGATTTGATTGCAAAACTAAAGAAGGCTACATAGCACATGAAACCCATCACTTGTCTAATTCAAAGAGTTGTTTCATGAGCTCGTAGACGTAGAAGGAAATGGCGGCGGAGGGGAGAATTTTTGCATAGTTCGGGAGTAAACCAGCGTACAGCGCGCCGACTCCCTCAGTCGTTCCCACGACGTAAATTCCGTGAAACATGTTCTTGTAAGCGACCTTCGCGCCTTGCTTCATCCCGGCGACTTGGATGCGTCGTTGAATCATTTCAAGCGGATACACCCCCGTCTGCGCGGCGGCACCGGCGAGAGCGCCGAAGCACATCGTCGGCACGGCGGACATCTTCGCCTTGTCGCCAAACTGCTTGCGATAGAGCGATTTGCACGCGTCGTACACGAAGAAATTGATCGCGCCGTAAGGGGCGACGCGAACCATGTTCGCACCTAGACCCTTCCAAAGTGCCCCGTATCCTTCGTTCGCCACGAGTTGTTTCCAGCAATCGCCGAGTAGCATGCCCGTTCCCGACACTCGCGACCGAAGGGTGTCCACCGGGTGCGTGAGAGCCGTACCGCACATGCTCGCAATCGAGCCACCGAGCATGCGCTGAGGCCCGTCGAGTTCCGTCTGGTCGCTACCGTTGATGATGTGTTCCTTGTACTTGTCGTACACGAAAAACTCCACCGCCTTTGTGGGTGCTATTCGCAACACGTTGAGCGTATTTCCTCGAAACAAACCGCCCGGACCTTCGTCTCGCACGATGCGATTCAACGTCCCGATCAATCCTCCGTCGCGCGCGATCTTCGTCGAGTCAAGCATGTACTCAATTTTCGCGCGCTCGAGCGGCGCCACGATGGTTCTTGAGACTCCTCCGGAGATCGCGCCCACGAGCAAGTGCTTCGCGACTTGCATCGATCCGTGGCGCGCCGAGCGCTTACTCGCGAACGCCATAGACACGTCACCGACGTCGATCGTGCTTCGCGACCACACACTCAGCGCTTGCGTGGTATCCATCGCGTCGGACAGCAACAAAAAGTCCCGAAACTCGGCGAAATCTATCGCTCTCGAGTGCGTCACGAATTTCTCATTCGCCGCGTTGAACAATCCTTTCCCCTTGCTAAACGCCCCCTCCCCAGCCTTGATCCGCGTCATCATCGCCTCCACGTCCCCATCGCTCGCGGCGTATCCCTCCCGCATCAACACCCGCTTCAACTGCTTCGTCGTCAGGTACCCCACGCGATCGTGGTCGAACGTCCGAAACGTCTTCAACAACTCCCGTTCGCGCCTCAACGCGAAATCCCCAAACTCGGCAAACGTCAACCCATCCTCCGTCTCGCCCCCCCCCTGATCGACCCCGCATCGATCGACCGCGCGAGACATAAACTCCTCGATCGATCGCTCCGTGCACGGCACCCCGAGCCGGGTCAACGCCGCGCGCAAATCATCCGTCGTCACCCGTCCCGTTCGCGCGCGATCCAAATCATCGAACCGTCGCCGCAGCGCGCGAAACGCGTAATCCTCGGGCGCGAGCGCGTCGAACGTCACCGCGTTTTCACTTCCGTTCCCATCGCCCGCGCGCGGCGTCGACGACGACGCGAGCGAGCACAGGAACGATCGTCCGCGTCGCGCGCGCGTCGCGGGACCACCGCGCGCGCGTCGATCGCCGTCGTCGTCGTCGTCCGCCGTCGTCGACGCGCGCGACGACGCATGGCGACCGAGGAAAAATTCACGCGCGCGGTGCGCCGGCGACGGCGACGCGAGCGCGCGCGCGTGCGCGTGCATCGTCGCGATGTCGCGCGCGATGCGTCGGACGCGCTGGCGGCGTGGGGACGGTTGGGGGGGTAACGATGGGTCGTGACTCGTTGGTGGTGGTTACGTACAGGACATGTGTGTCGCGCTATGAAGGCTCGGTGGTGGACCAATGTGACTCAACACGCCGGAGAGACGTTTTGCTGCGCGACGCGACCGTCCGGGAGCGAGCGCTCGATCTCACCGAGCGTCGACGCGCGGTCGACGCTCGTGGGGCGGGCGGGGAAGCGCTCGAGACCGAGCGCGAGGGTGGTTTCGTTCGCGCGCGACGTCTTCGTCGCGTACCCGAAGGCGTTGAAGTCGTGCGCGTACAGCTCGTTGAAGTCATTCAAGACTTTGGGAGACATGTGCGCCCAACACGGCTCGAGATCGGGCTTGCCGATCACCGGATTCCACTCGTTGATGTGACCCTCGAGCGAGACGGCGGGATGGTACCGTTCGCGGAGAAATTTGACGAGGTTGTCCTGTTTGCCCCCGGCGCGCGGCTTGGTGCACGTGCCCGTCTTTTCCGTCAAGTCTAGGCAATCTTCGAACTTGAACAATCTCGCCGCCGACGCCGCCATGACGGACTGAGGTAGCCAATGCGAGTTGACCCCCATGCCGACGCCTTTGAACGTTTCGTCGCACTCGTTCATGCCCTCGACGGCGTATTGCCGCCGCTGGTAACACTTTCGAAGCTCTGACTTCGTCGCCCCCGCTATTTGTCTCGCCACGTGTTGCTCGAACGCGACGCAGTTCTCTGGATCGTACCCCGTTCTCAACGCCGCGAACGTGTCCTTATCTTCCCAACTCGTCCTCCAAAGAAAATCGCTCTGCGCCCGCGTGTACGGGTCGCGCAAGATCGCCCACGAGTCCGGAACCACCCCACGCGGCGGCGTGTGCCACGGTTCGAACCCAACGAACGCGCTCCTGAACTCGTACGGGCGCTTGTGACAGAATCCAACGGCGATTCCCAACGATCCGAGCGCGGACTCGATCATCGTCCCGCCCGTCTTGGGCACGTGCAGAAACGTCGGTAACCCCTCGCCCTCGCGCTTCCCGTTCAAATCTCTGAGCACCGCCGCGCGACGTTCCGCTGGGTTCATCGTTGAGTAATCCACCGCCTCGCTCGTCGCCCCCGCGTCGCTCGATTCCATCGCTCGTCTCGGCGCGCGTTCGCCCAGGGCGGCGACGCCGAGTCCTTCGCCCGCTCCGTCTCCCCTCGCACCGCGTCCGCGAGCGCCCTCGGACTCCATCGCGCCCGGGATGGGGTCGTTCGTCATCGTTTGGCGTCCCGCGAGGCATCCGAGCGCGCCCAGGGCGCCCAGGGCGAGCGCGGCGACGATCTTCGTCGAGTGCGCTCCGCCATGGGTGTTGCGAATCACATCGCTCGCGTTCGACGCGGAAGCGACGGCGCCGAGCGCGCGGGCGTGGGCGTCGTCGACGGCGTCGCGATCGAGTAACCGCTCGGTCTCCCGGGAGACGACCATCGAGGGGTGACGCGCGCGGTGACGTGTGCGGCGCCCGGGCGCGGGCGTCGGCGTCTTCGCGTCGCGCGCGAACGACGGCGATCAAACGCGCGTCGATGTGTGGGTCAATGTACTTACATCGTGATGTACGAGGCGTATCACTCGCGAGCGGCTATCAGAACGGACACCTCGGTCCGGCGAGGGAGACGATGTAATCGTCCTTCGTCAGGCGCTTTTCCAGCTCGCCCAGACTCGCGTGCGACGGCTTGAACGTCTCGTGCGCGGCCTCTTCGAACGTAGAGTTACCGTCCACGGCGTTAGGTTTCGGTTGAATCATCGAGTAGCCGAATTTTTTGAAATCGGCGGCGTAAATCGCGTTAAACGCCTTGAGAACGACGGGATCAAAGTCCTCCCAGCACGCCTCCAGGTCCGGGTGCGGCACCGCCGGGTTCCAACTCATGATCTTTTCGTCAAAGTTGACATCCTTGGAGTAACGATCGTGCACGAACTTCAAGATGTTATCCTGCATCGCTCCCGTTCGCGGGTCCGGGCACTGTCCCTCTTCGTTGCTCAGGCATTTCTCGTAAGAGAAGACGCGCTGCGCGCACGAGCCCATGACGCTCTGCGGGACGTGGTGCGACGACAAACCAGTTCCTTGATTCTTCGTGTCGCACGCGTTCATGCCTTGGACGGTGTAATCCACGTCCCTGTAGCACTTCAACAGCCCATTTTCAGCCATCGGTCCGAGCATATCCTGCACCGCGGCTTGAAAGCTCACGCAGTTTGTGTTTCTATATCCCGGCGTCAACTTGTGAAACGTCGCGTCCTGCGCCTTTCTCGTCATCGCCGCGTACACGAACTCGCTCGCGGCCCTGGAGTAGGGATTTCTCACGATCATCCACGAGTCCTGGACGAAATTCGCCGGCGGCGTGTGCCACGGCTCCCACCCCGCGTCTTTCAGCGTTCCCCGGAGCTCGTACGGCCTCGGCGCGCGATACCCTCCGAGGTGCTTCAAGTGACACATCCCCGCCGCGATCCCGTGCCACCCGAGCGCGCTCTCGATCGACGTCCCCCCCGTCTTCGGGACGTGTAAAAAAACCGGCATACCCTTACCCTCCACGCGATCGTTCGCCGGCAGCTCCTGTCCGAGCATGGCTTCCGTCCGCGCGCCGAGGGTCGCCGTCGCCGTCGCCCATCCGCCCGTCCGCCCGCCGCGCGTCCCCGTCGTCCCCATCACCGCGAGCGCCACCGCGAGCGCCACCGCGAGCGCCACCGCGAGCGCGCGCGCGCGCGGGCGCGACGCCGCGGTCCCGGACGCGGTGTCGGACGCGTCGTCCACGCGATCGCCCGCGGCGTCGCGCAACACCCACGCCGCGGACGCATCGACGACGACGGCGTCGAGTCTCTCGTCGTCTCCCGGCGCCGACGCGCGCGTCGCGGAGGCGAGCAACGGCGCGGACTCCGCGGTGGGGCGCTCGAGCGCCATCGCGCGCGCGTGCGCGTCGACGAGTGCGCCTTATTCTCGCGCGGGGTGTTGGCGCCACGGCGTCGGCGCGCGACGGAGGGACGCGAGAGACGACCGCGATCGCGGTGCGGGTGAACGGACGACGGAACGCGGTGAAGAACGCTATGGGTGATTACACGGGCGATGGTACGGGTGACGTGGACTCAGGCGCCGCGTCGAGCGCGAGGGGCGCGCCGCGGGACGAGTTCTTCTTCGCCGACGTTTCGTCTCGCGCGCTCCAATCGCGCGCTCCACGTCTCCTCCTCCCCCGCCTGCACGCGCTCGATCTCACTCGAGTACGCACCGTGTGACCCCTCCCCTGGTGACGTCAACACGCGCTCGTCTTCGCGCAGCGGCTCGCCCAGGCGCTCCGCCGCGGCGAAGCGCGCGAGCTCCTCCGCGCGCTCCGCGTCCACGACCACCGACGCCTCACGCTCGTTCATCCGTCTCGCCCGCATGATTTCCAACTGTCTATCCGCGTATCGCTTCGCCGTCGTCGTCCCTCCGTCCACGCTCGCGCAATCGATCGGTTCCAACGCTCGCGACGGGTCGCGTTTGTAAAACCCGCGAATCAACCCATCCGTCTCGAACGTAATCTCTCTCGGTTTTCTCGCCTTCATCGGTCGCGGCGACGGCGACGCCGCGTGCACGGCGGCGTCGTACCACGACGGTCGCTCGATCACGCCGTCTCGGACGAGCGTCGTCGCCAACGCGAGCGGCGTCGGTCGCCCGCGCGTGGGCTTGAACATGTCCAGCGTCAGCGTCAGCGCGCGTCGCGCCGAGCGCGCGCGCGACATCGCGGGCGCGCGC